AATTCTTTCACAGAAGTGTCCAGGGTATGGCAACAATGGCTAACCTTATGTCACACCTGGCCAATGGTAAAGCTCAAGCTTCTGACCCTGTTGAAAAAGTTCTTTATCGTCAAATACGCAAGATTACTTTGGATACTCCTTTGAGCAGAGTGTCAAAAATGCTGGAGACTGACCATTTTGTCCTCATTGTGCATACTCAAAAACAATGTAAGTTTGCTATCTGCATATTAGATACTGAAATGCCATCCTGTTTGAATGACCACTCTAAGTAAATTTGTTTTGTTTCCTGTTACAGATAGCAGCGGTGATTCAGCACAGAACAGAGAATCTATTGTTGGTATTGTAACACCTATAGACTTGCTATGTCACATTACATCCCGCGAGGGTCATGAAGGTACCGTTGATTCTGAATGCTCTTCTGTAAGCCACTAAGGTTTCTTTTTAATTCCTGACTCAATCCTTTTGTATCATCACAGTACCTCGCTTGTCAGTTATTTGACATATCATTTACTATTTTCCAATCAATGCAGTAAAATCTGTTAAAAATGTTAGAATGATCCTTAAATTTTTGAATCAGTATGTGATACTTTGCTAAAATATAGCATCCATTGTCAATTCAGAAACCACAAAGTAGCTTGATTTTAGTTATTTGTTTTGATTGTTGATTTTTATGTTCCTGTCTATTTTAGGTAAGGCATTTGTTGGAAATGATCTGACCGTTTTGTTTTAATTTTTGTTTTTTTAATGGACTGATATTTTTGATTGATTCTTTTGTTTACTTTTTAACATTTCTTATATTTACTTAAATTATGTCTTTTTTTGCATCACATGAATTACAAACATTTGGCACACCAGTGAATGATGCTCTTTTCCCTCAATGTTACCTCAAATGAGATCTTTGATGCGACACGGTGAGCAAAATGTACCTACAAGTGGGAAATAAATAGTAAAAAACGTAACATGAGATGAAGCAAATGAAAAATGTCGACTGTCACGAAGGGTCGCTTCGGCGGCCGCAGTCAGTGGGTCATCACACTGTTGACTAGGCCAAGAACGTGTGGGGACAAGCACAGCGCGACAGAACAGCTGAGTCTGCGCGACCGCACCTCGGATCGGATGGGATCGGCAAAATAACACCGCACGAGCTTAAGTCTCTTACTCTCTCTCTCTCTCGCACTCACTGGGCGGGTCAGAGGAGCCGCGCACCGCCCGACAGGGGGTCGTAGACGTCGAGGATCATCTCGCGGAGGGTGGTCGGCGGCTTGCTGAAGTTGTCCTCGTCGAACTTCTTGTCCTGGTGGCGCTTGAGCAGGTGGATGCAGTACTGGTCGCGCCACTCGGCCCACACCTCGTTGGCCTTGTACACCTTGTGGATGAGGTAGTGCACGCCGAAGAGCAGCTTGACGCGGTGCAGCAGCTCGGGCCGCTTGTACAGCACCTCGACGGTGGGCCGCTCGCCCGCGTTGTAGTACCACTTGTTCTTGTCGTAGGCGCCGCGGTACGTCTCGAGCCACTCGCGCAGGAAGCGCGCCTCGCGGTGCGCCACGATCACCTGCGTGCCCATGAACTGGTTGTCGTCCCAGCCCATGGCGATCTCGAAGCGGCGGAACTTGTCGAGCGACTGCACCATGTACGAGTCGTTGTCGAGGAAGATGCCGCCGTACTTCATGAGGATGCGGATGCGCGTGATGTCGCCGGCGTGCCACACCCGGTAGCCGTTGTCCATCGGCTGGCCGAAGATCTCGCTCGGCAGGTCGACGTGCACCATCTCGACGATGTCGGCGAAGCCCGGCGTGAGCAGGAGCTTTTCCCAGTACTCGCCCTTGAAGCGCTCGACGTTGGTGTGGAAGAAGAGGCGCTCGGGCCGCTGGTGCCGCAGCGCCGACAGCACCGTCACAAAGTCCAGGAAGTCGAACTCGACCTCGTTGAAGCGCAGGAAGTGCATGAAGTTGGGCACGAGGTAGTCGCTCTCCTCGCCCAGCCCTGTCACGTTGTTGAAACCTGTGTGCGACAGTCAGTGCGTTACTAAGTGGGCGGAAAGCGCTAAACGGTCAGTCTGCGGAAAATAAACAGAACTGGAAACCATGCTGAATAAGCAAGGCCGGACGAAAGTAAAATGGCGAAGAGATAAACGTTTCATCCCTTAGGAAATGTTTTGCGGGCACCGAAAATAGTAGTAAGTCTCCTTCGGGGGCGGGCAGAGCTCGCGGCCTACGACACAACAGTGTTGCGGGTCTGCATACCCTACCCTAGGAGCCATCCATGGCGCTTAACTGATAGGGGCAAGAGGCAACCTAGCATACTGTTGTGTCGTGGCGTTGACACACGGTACATAAAACGTAAAAGCGGTAATCTGATCCGTAATTAATACACTGTCACAACAATGTTGGGACTGAGTGGCAATGAGAGGGCTGGTTGTACCTGTGAAGTTGTACGGAGTCTTGATGGCGGGCGGCACGTAGGGCTGGCGCTGCTCGATGATCTTCTGGATGGCCTCGGGCGTGACCTCGCCGCCGGGGCCCTTGGCGTCGGTGTGGACGTCGGGACGGATCCAGTTGGCAGCCCAGACGCGCGGGGACGGGCCGCCGCCGCTGGCCGGGTGTGCGCGTCTCGGGGGCGGCTCGGGGGGCCCGCGAGCGCTCAGGAACAGGATGAGGAGCAGCACGACGATGGCCAGCACCGCGACCGGGCCGCGCACCCCGCCGCACGGACCTGAGGCCATCTTATTGCGGCGCGAGTCCATCGACAGCGAGCAGCCGCGCCGGTGATCACCCGCACTACTAGTCTACTGGCCCGCGAGCTCCGCGTCGAGCGCGGCGCGGCGGCGCGAGGCTCCCGACTCGGTCGCGAAAAGTGCTTTACCGCGCTCGGCGCGTGTCGTCGTCGGTCGCGCCTGGAATATGGGTCGAGCCCGCGCCGAAACATCAACAACAACCGCCGGGCGGTGGACGGCGGCCGTCACTCCCGACTCCGGCCTCCGGCCTCCCCCGCGCCGCGCACGCCGAGCACGACGACGGACTCGAGGACCGTCCGGCGGCGGGAACGCCACGCGCGGGCGGCGCGCGGACAGCTCACGACTTGAGAGCGGTGACGGACCGCGAGCGCTATCGTTATCAGATAATCCTGAAAACACCTGTGAACGTTCGGCGGAACGCGACACTGCCAAACAGAAAACGCAGTGTTGCCGCAGATAAGTAGGTGAAAATTGCCAACCACGATACTCCCCCCCCCCCTCTCCGGTAGTACGTGTGGGCCGTATTGATGCCTGCCTACCAGGCAGTAAACTCGTCTCCCTCGTAGCGAATTTGCGAAGCAGGATGGCAAACAAAACACTAAAATGCTTGGGACCGGAAGTCGAAAAATAAAATCCTGGGAGCTCTCCGATCACAGCCCTCCGATCACCAGCGCGCGTACTTTTCTCTAATACGATTTGTTTTAAAAGTTTTATAATTTAATTTTTCATAAGCCAGATGCTCTTCTGTCTAATACGGTCTGGGAAGGAGTAGGAGTGGATTCAACTCAACGCCATCACGGCCGTCAACAACAGCCTCCCCCCGTGGCGGTGAGATCGCTGCCCGTTACGGCGTTACGCCCTTGCCTCGAAAACAAAACGCCCTTGCGCGGCGAGCATTGTGAGCTTTTGTTTTCAAATTCATTTGGTAAAATGACTGGAGCTAGGCGCCTGCAAGACTCTGGGTAGGCCACATCGCAGTACACGCATGCACAGCAGACGAGGTGTTGCCTACTTATCAGGCGCTACGAGAGCTTGCGTCCGCTCAACATGTCAGGTTCAATAAAAAAAGAAACCTGTACAAGAACCAAGTTTTTCTCTCTCTCACTGCTTCCATTCATTACGAGTGCGGGAATAATAAATAGAGCGAATCTGCAGTTTTATATATATCGCGCAAAGTCCTCTGGCTCGGGCGTCGTCGTCGTCGTCCGCCGTTCGACCAGCCGGCCCGGCCCGGCCGTTCTGGCGGCCGCGAAGACGGCCTCGATGAACTGGCGCATGGCGGGGTTGCGCAGGTCGGCGTACACGCCGGGGTAGCGCTCGTGCGCGCAGCCCATGCCCCAGGACACGATGCCGAGCAGGCGTACGGGCTCGTACTCGGTGTACAGCGTCAGCGGCCCGCCGCTGTCCCCCTGGGCGAGGCACAGAGGGAGGTCGTCACGAAACGGTCTCGGATGCGTCAAATCAGGGGTGTTTATGGACAAATTGCCGACAAAGAAGCCCACAGTCCAACGTCAAACCGGGTGCCGGCTTTACTGACCTGGCAAGTGTCCCTGTGCGGAGCCTGCGCGCACACCATGTGGTCCGTGACGGCGAGGTTCACCTTCCTGTAGGCGTCGATGCAGTGGTTGTGCTCCACGGGGTTGACGGTGACCTTCTGCAGCTGATAGCTGCCACCGTAGAAGTGGCTCTCCCCCTTGTCCTGGAATCAACCATAGAATGGTGGTGGGGGTGTGTGGGGGGTAGAAGTCGGCGTGCCCTGCTGTGCACATACGCTGCGCGCCAAGGGCGCCCACGACCCCACGACGCCTTCCCCGAGCGGCTATACCCCGCGCACCTGCGTGAGCCCCCAGCCCGTAATGGTGAGCTGGTCGGTGGCCAGCAGCTGGTAGGTGGGGTCCACGAGCCGGATCGTCTGCACCGTCTCGTTGTTGACGTGCATGCCCTCCACCCGGACGAGGCCGATGTCGTAGTGCAGGCCCTGGGTCGGCCACAGCGGGTGCTGGTAGAAGGCGACGGGGAAGAGCAGCTGGCCGCCCGTCACGGCCACGGAGGAGCCCACGCGGAAGGAGCTGCCCTCCGTCGAGTTCCTGGGAGTGACAGCGGGGTCAGGGTCAGGCTCAAGGTACCGAGATCAATGTACGCAGAAATAAAGAACTTAAGAAAATAAAAATTTGCGGCTCACCCGTTGGGGAAGCAGTGCGCCGCGGACAGGAGCCAGTCGGGGGCGATGATGGAGGCGCCGCAGTGCAGGGCGTCCTTGTGCAGCCAGGCGGCCTGGCACCATGGGAGCGTCATCTTACCAAAGGTGGCGTGGGACTTGTTTCTACGACAGGTCGTGCTAACTTGGAAAAGTAGACGACTGCTCGTTTTTTAAGGTCCAAAAACGTTGGAGCAGGATTATCCGTCCGTAGTTCGTTTTTAAATTTGTATGGCCCCAAGGGTCCACTTAAATGTTACTGGAATACTGCTAAGCATCCCCGATATATCAAATACCAACTTCAGGCCCAAGGTCAGTACGTACGTGGTAAGGGAAGTCCCGGATCTGGGCGTCCTCGCCGCCGATGATGCGGCCGAACGGACGACGCCCCTGCTGCTGCTGTTGTTGCTGCTGCTGCTGCTGCTGCTGCTGCTGCTGTGGCGGCGGCGGCGGTGGCTGGGGCTGCAGCACGGATGCCGGCGGGGCCGCCACGCCACCGAGGACGTTGCCCAGGATGGGGACGTAGCTGCCGGAGAGCGTGGACACCGCCATCAGTGGGGCGGCGGGGGCGGCGGCGGCGGCCTGTCTGGCAGCGCTCTGAGAGCCGGGAGCGAGCGGGCCGTGAATCAAAACGCACACGCGTCAGGCACACGTGCTGCAGAGCGCGGAATCATTCAAACTCACCGTGTGGGCGTCCGGGTTATTGACCGGGGGAATAATTATGATACTATCTGTAATAGACAGAGAGGTTTTTGTAAAAAAAAAAAATAAATAATAGTACACATCACTACTTGCTGAAATTTTTCTTGAAAATTTTCACCGAAATAGGTGGAAAATGTCTAAGACTTTAAAACACTTTTTGTTTTGTTTTTAATAGAAAACATTAATATAAAATGAGTGCCATACTCTAGGATCCAACGATGGGGTCAGCAGGACGGCGTGGCCTGGCGGGGGCATGGAGGGGGTGCCAGGCCAGCCGTGGGGTGCCGCTCGCTATACTCACTGACGGACTGCCGGCTGGCGCGCACCAGGAGCAGCAGAAGAAGGCCCTGCGCGAGGCGGCGCGGGCTGTGCCGCGGTGCCGGCGCCATGGCGGCTGCGGCTGCAGAGAGAGGCCTCTCGCCCGGCGCCGGGGCCGGCGCGGGGCCGCTGGGGGCGCTGCCGAGCGGCCGCCCGCCGCGCACCCTACACTGCCAGCGCGCGCCAGCGCCAGCGGCCGCGGGGCGAGGCGCTATTGGGAAATGGTTTTGTCCGATTCGGAATAATTGGTTGCGTTTTCCGCTCCACTCAACACTGGCTGCACATCGCTTTCAAACCGGCCGCGCTGGTCCATGCCGACGAGGAGGCGGGTCGGGAGCAGCGGGAGGCTTAGGGATCCGCGTCACAACCGGAGAAACATCAGGATGACCACGTAGCATCGCCTTCTTGGGTCGCGGCCTCGTGAGAGGAGGTCCCCGACGTGCTGGTCCCCGCGGCCGGCCCGCCACTCCGAGCGCGCCCTCCCTCGCCGCGCGCCTACACCGCGCCCCGCGGTTTTCCTGAGGCGCGGCTGTTGTGCCTGGCGGTGTCCAGGGCCTCCCCACTCCCCGCCTCCCCGCCCTCCTGATAAGCCCGCGACCGCCGCCCGGCCGCCGGCGCCAGCGACAGCACACCACCGCTCCGCCCGTGTTCAGCAGCATGTCCCCGTCGAGGCCTGCCCCCCGGGCCGTGCCCCCGGCTGCGGCCCCGGCCCTCGCCCTCCTGGCCCTGCTGGCGCTGCCGGGTGAGGCGAACGAACCACCCCGACGACCTCGCGTCCCCCCCGCCCAACGCATGCGTGACGTCCTCTTGTTGAACCCCGTGAATGTGCGGCAGGTGGCAGCCTCGCCGGCCCCGGGCAGCTCAATGCCAACTCGGGCCTCCTGCCCGCGCACAAGAAGATGCAGATCGTGGGCGGGATGGCAGCCGACATCAAAGAGTTCGGCCACCAGGTAACGGGGACGGGACAGCGCGACACGCGAGCGACACGCGATACGGCTGTGGCGCGGCGCGGTGCTCGTCCCCGCTAGAGAGACAGTCCTCTAGTGGAGGATACGCACCCGCGCGTGTGTTTTGGGCTTTGTGGCGCCACCAGCAAACCTTCCAAAGCACTTTTCTCGGAAAACGGAAAACGTGAAAACAGAAAACACGCGCCTTCGGGTTGGGGACGTTGTCATAAAATAGGTGCGCGTGCAAAGCCTGGTTACGGCGTTGTTCGAGAAGGGTGACGGAGCTCTACGTGGTATGCCCTCATGAAAGACAAAAGTTCCTCGTGGTGCCGCAGAGTGCAGGGGAGACAGTTCCTCCGTAACGACCTCGAGTGTAGGGGAGACAGCTATGTACGCGGTGCCCTATGAGTACGATAGAGATGTGGTTGCCGCAGGTGAGCTGGCTGCGTGCGGGCAGGCACATGTGCGGGGGCTCCATCATCACGCCGGAGTACATCATCACGGCGGCGCACTGCTGTGTCGAGTGAGTACCTGGTTGAGTGAGTGCCCGGTTGGGTGAGTTACCGGTTGAGTGAGTGCCCGGTTGTGTGAGTACCTGGTTGACTGAGTACCCGGTTGAGTGAGTACCTGGTTGAGTGAGTACCCGGTTGAGTGCCAGGCTGGGTGAGCTTCTGGTTGAGTCAGTATCTTGTTGGATGAGTGGACGAGTTCACCCGGTTGAGCCGCACCGTCACCGCCCTCAGGCTGAACCTCACCATCTCCGAGGTCTTGGCGGGCAGCACGATCATCCCGAGCAAGGGCCGCGGCCAGGTGGCGCAGATCGTGGACGTGTACGCGCACCCCGACTTCGACCCCATGACCTACACGAGCGACATCGCCGTGCTCAAGGTCTACCCCCCGTTCCGTATGGACGAGTCGGTCCGGTCCATTCCGATCATCGACCCCGCCAACTCGCCGCACACCGGGGACCCCGTGTACGTCACGGGCTGGGGCAAGTTGTCGGTATGCACATGGACGTCTGAGACGGCGTGGATCCGCTGGAGTAAATTGCGAAGCAGGCGTATTAACGAGACCCTGGTTTCGAGGTAGGAGTTTTCTTCGACAGCGGCGACGATCCTCCAGAAGGTCAAGGTGCAGATGAAGGACTTCGAAACGTGCAAGGCGAGATACGGCGAGATACCCATGGTGCTGACGGACACCACCTTCTGCGCGGCGGCCGACGGCAAGGACGCGTGCCAGGTGAGCCAACCTAGACAAAAGGGTAGGGAGGGCGAGTATCGCAATCAACCCAGTTGCCACGAGGGCAGATAGCCCGGTGAGCGGCGGCGGTGAGCCCTGGTGAGCCTCTGGCCGTGGCCGAGAGGGTGGGACGCCAGGTGAGCCCGAGCCCATGGGATTAGGCAGGGCAGGCGCGCACTGCGCCGGGGGGTGATACCCAGCGAGCCACTAGATCGGGACGCAGCCGGCTGATTAGCCCTTTGGCCACCAGAATGGTGATCATGATCTGCGTGCGGCAGCGTGGGTCGAGGCAACGCCATCACGGGATGGGGATGGCAACCCTTTAAACCTCCTGTCTGCGTGTCCGCAGGGCGACAGCGGGGGGCCGCTCATCTACAAGATGGGCGACAAGGACTACCTCCTCGGGATCGTGTCGTCCGGGAAGGGCTGCGCCGTCAAGGAGTTCCCGGGGCTGTACACCGACCTGCGCAACGAGAGGATGAGGAGCTTCGTGAGCAAGGTCACCGGCATGAAGCTCTGATCGATGCGCCGGGCCACGACTGTACGATCAATAAAGTGCGCGCTCACCGCCCACGGACTGCACTGCGCGCCCTCACTGCACGCGCGGTGCACGCGCGGCGCACGGACCGCACGTGTGCACGCTTAGTGCACGCTCTCACTGCACGTGCAGCACACAGCGAACAGCGCGCGGACTAGGTGGGCGTGAACGCGGTCACAGGGTGCTCGTACTGCACGTGCATAATACGTGCACGCGTGGCACGCCCATTGCCTGCTCTCACTCTATGCGTGGCGCACGTACTGCAGCACGCCCAGTGCACGCCTATTCTGGACGCGTGGCGCACGTGGCGCACGGGTTGGGTGGGCGTGCACGGCCTGAGCACGCACGTGCGTACTGCACGTGCGGTGCACTTGGCACACTTGCGCGCCCTCCTCACTCTACGTGTGGCGCAACGTCCTGCAGCACGCCCAAGTGCAACAACGCCTTTACTGGACGCTCTGGTGCACGTGACGCACGGACTGGGTGGGCGTATGCACGGCTACATGGCGCCGTGACTGCACGTGGCCCACGCCCTTCACGGTCACGGTGCACGTGGCCGCCACCGGCCCTGACACCTGTTGCCACAAAGTTTGGGAGCCTGAGAGGAAGAAGTGGCGTGGGTGAGGGGAAAGGGAGAGAGGGGCGGGGAATCGAGAGAGAGGGGGGGGGGTTGTAGGACGACGAAGAGTGAGTGGCGCCGTCACACAGTTCAGTTACGGTTGCGTCATGGTTGTTGTCCGCGGTCGTAAGTAACGTAAACAAATTCACTGCAATTAAGCATACGTCGCTGAGGTGTACCACGCACAAATCCTGGTTTCGTTATAACTGTGGTTTTTGTGAACCATCGCCAAGTGAACAAGCTCGTTGAGTGCCTTCTGGCCCTTTCAATTTTTCGAGGTATTGAAGGAAGTTGAAGAAAGACTAAAGAAAGGCGACTGAGGTCAACTAGTAACGCAGTGCAGTCTGTTAAAAGGTTCCCAAACGTTATTCTATACCAGGGGTCCAATAGGGACTGGCGTACTTTAATTTTCTTTAAGCAGGGGTGAGGGGAGGTGGAGGGCGTGTCGTCCGACGACCCTTACATCGAACAGAGCTGTCCGCGGGAAAAGGTGAACCCGCCCACATTGAGCGGAAAGCGCGTGTGTTTACTGAGCTCAGCCTACTGGGAACGCAACCCTCGCGCTCAGCAGGGGCGGGCCCAGGGCTCTCCACGAGAGGGGACAGGGGGGAGGAGCCGGAGGGGCAGAGGGAAGGTCCTCGCCATTTGTGAATGGGTCTGGGAAGAGAGCGTGTTCAGTCGGGGGCTAGAGAGAGAGAGAGGAGGGAGGGGGC